ATTTACTAGGACACAAAGACTTAGGGTTGTATGCTACGCTCCTTTTACATGGAGGCTACCTTCAGGTGACATGGAAATTTAAGGTTGTATACTACTTAAAGTGACATGACATCATAAGGTTGTATGCTAACCTACTGTGAGATGAAGACTAAAGGGTACATTTCTGTGACAACAATATCTAAAGGTGTGCGATACATATACTTACTGCGAAAAGGGGACTTAAGGGTATATTCTACCGTAGCGTGTCAGAAAATCTCAGACAGTTATTTTCCTTGATAACGAATCACCGTTCAAGGAGAGTTCAATTATTTCAATGCAGACAGTTGTTAGAGGAATTTATCCTTTGTCCACGATATTATCTTTTAATTGGTGGTTACTCAACCATTAGCGATGTTATTTGTATAATATTTCCAAGTGATATTACGACCTAGCTAAAATTATATTACGACACTGGTTTTCGATTGACCACATTTCGAGGGCGAGTTTCAAACCAGCTGATATACAAAAGTATTGTTTAAGTGTCGTTGTATTTTATCCTAATGAATATAGCCGGCCCAGCTGTAGAAATGAGCACTGCATATGGGGAAGTAGATCAGCGAATGACAAGGATTTTTTCGCGAACCCTTAATAATTTAAGTATAACAAAACTAATCTATGTTTTTTGTGACAAACTCAAACCAGTCTTCGATGTTGTTTCTTGTATATTTACTATCATTACAAGGCAAAATAACAATCGATTTTTTATTTCGTCAATCATTCTGTGTTTTACAAAAAAAATAATGGTGTCGCACGGTTATATTTAATGGAACACAAACGTGGAGGGGCTAGAATTTTCACTGGTGTACACGTATACCTGAAAGAAAGATTAATTATCATTGTAAACATATATTGAATTGAAAGTAATGGGTCTTTATATACTCCTTAAGGCGTGCTGTGCTGGAGAGTTTTGCATTACTAAATAGTCATTATACTTATCTGCCATCTCATATTACCCAGGCAATGAGATCAAGCTGTAACATTGACAAAAAACCGACGTCTTGTGGTTTTTTAAGATTGATCTAGGGTCTCTAAATTGTCAACCTCTTGGGGTTTAACGTAAATTATTACTTAATATACAATTCTTAACAAAAGTCACAACGTCAGGGTACTGACGAAATCGGAGACTGATTTTTTACGGTTTGATTAACAATCAATTAAAATTTTTGTGAATGACAACAAGTAGTGGTGTGACACCTTGCCTCACGCGAGACTGGGTCTTGTTTGTGGAGACAGCCAGGTAGTCAATCAACAATGACATTTGATTTACAGCGAAAGCAATCATCAGCCAAACATGGTTGCTTTTAATATCGAATTTCAATATTCAATATTGATCTTAATGGTGTTGAAATTAATTCCTTACTGCACTGTGATATATTCAACACATCGCAACCTTTTAAACGTGATGTCATGCCTTTTTATTCTTTCCTTATTTAAATATTTGATAAATAATTTCTTTTTAATGTGTATATATAAATAAATATATACATGTACTTTATTTCCTTTTTAATTTTTTAGGCTGATTCTATCAGAGACTAGTAGTTTTCGCGTCAAGATTTATAACACATATTGACGAGTTTGTCCTACGATTTCATGTTTAGATAAAATTTAGTAAAGTTTGATCCAATAATTCCTGTTTATAACCAAAAATAATCTCAGTCAGTTACACGAATGTTCTATCCAAATATTGAAATCTGATCTCTATATCCGTGTAAATTTACATTTCAATGATCCCCTGTTGTTGAAATAAATTCATATCTGTTTGACTCGTTACCGACCTTAGTATTGATACTCTCCGCCAGGGCCGCGCTTCGTCAACAACAGAAAAAGGGGCGATCACCGATCTAAACTTGCTATCTGCACGTGCTACGCCGACAGAATTACGAAGTGATCAGCCGACTTGTTGATAAAGCTTCCGCTAGAAGTAACAGAAACAAAGAACAAATTGAAAAACATTTAAACTGGAAGTCATTTGGACGATGCAGGGGATAAACCGGAAGTCACTTTAAACATAAAGAAAACAGGAGGTCACTTTAAACAATGTGTAAACAATGCCTTATAACCTGGAGTCACATCATTTCTCTCTACTAAACTTTGAATCGGATGTATTGAAGAAAAGAAAAAAAATACATCTAACACAAACCGGAAGTCACCATAAACACGGTATAAACAGGAAATCACCATGAAAATGATTCACCCGATGTCGCTAAGCAAATGTATGTCGTCTGATTAGCAATGGACAGAATGCAACTGTCCATTAAATGACCACTGTGTGTCAGTATAGGTCACCTGGGGCAATGTCAATGACCTGGCGTCCTGTTAAGTGTTAGTTCACAATTTAAAAATTTCTTGCCTCGTCATTCATTAACTGTGTTGTTTCATATAATGTCAAGTGATAGAGCCTTGGGGCAGACGTTTCCTAGATGTATCTATCGATAATTACGTCTTGGGATATTTTTTCCATATAACATTACAAACAATTGATTGAAATGTATAATATATACATATGTCTATACTGAGTTGTCTAACATATATTGTAAACTGATCCAGTAAAGGTGAGGTGTCTTGTCAGGAATGGGTCACGATGTTGGAACGTCCCAAATGAGCAATGAATCCCCTATCAATATTGATAACTATAGTCTGTTATAGACTGCTGTGTCTAATAATAGCATGCTGCGCGCTAGAAACATTCTATTGGTAGCACAAACAATATCAACGCCAAGAATATCGATCATTATTTCATTTCTTTGGAAGAAGAAAGTGGGAGGATGACGAAAGCAGTGCGTGATAGAATATAATCAGGACATGTTCTTCCTCATAACATGTTTGTCAACAACAGTACGGGATATGTGGATGATGAAATAAGATATTTTGAATTTGGAAGTAGTCTTTCTCTGAGGTAGAAAAACATTCTGCGATGTTTGAATTATAATTAATGTTTTAAGAAGTTTTCAACGCAATCATTTTGATAAAAATAATAAAAAATAAAAAGAAATAAATTTTTTTAAAAAAAAAAGCAAAACAAAAAAAAGAGAAAGATTTTCATGCTCCAGAGAATATTTCTACTTTAAAGTCAGTATGTTCCTTTGAAATTGCCTGTTTGGACCTTAAGATCACTTTTTTAAGTCCTGTTTTTTGTTATTTTTTGTGTTCCGTATTTTCGCGCGTTGCACTGCCAATCCTGTCCCTTTGTGATCAACCTCCTGTCAGACATGGATTTCGACCTTATCAGAAAATCACGATTATCTTCATTTAAAAAAAGTTAAATGTACAGAAGATAAACCAATTGAGGATAAAAACTGCACTCCGAAATCCGAAAAAACTGATATTGTTTCCTTTCCCGACATAATCTGAATTTTTCATCATGTGATGAAAGATTTCAAAGGTTTCATAAAACGCCTGTTTTCTCGGATCAAGAGATCAATGTTTCCAGCATATCAGGTATAACAAAATGATTCCTCCACTAAAACTGCGCTTTTTGTGGTAGAGTCATTTAGCCGATTACAGGCTTCCTTAAAGAAAATTATTTACAGGTTTTTATATGACTACAAATATTTTTGTTTGAAATTACGATTTTCTGCGATGTTAATGGCTTTAGGTACTATTTAATTCGATCCATTATGGCTCCAGTGATATAAAAAAAACAACCTGATATATATTATTGATCTGTTTCAGAGCAATCAATAAAATCTCCATCCTAGTAAAGAGTTCCAATGACCGATGTATACTGAGCTCCGGCCGGAAGTGCGTCATCACCAGTCGCCGTAGCTGGAGAAGGACGACCCGTTTGGCTCTTATATAGGCAATAAATCAGACTTGTAAACGATACAAGTGTGTATTGTTTACGTCTTTGCAGGAGGTGCGCTATCTGATATATATATAAACCTTCATTTGTGTCGTCACGGGCATCTCTAGGTTTTCACAAGTAATCACTAGATACACATCACTCACCATATTCGCTGAAATCAAATTTGTCGCCTACGTGGTATACATTCTTTTGTTCATTTGTTACTAAAGCAATGAATGTTACTGAAAGCTATTGTCAACCTTCCCCAACGATTTCTTTGATGTTTTTCGTACGCAAATTCGTCATTTTACTTTCTTTAGGAGAAGCATGTAGATACACCGTGTATAAAACTGAGCAGACAGTTCCATTAAGAATCAAACATTTATGTACCTCAGTATAAGATATCCATTTTCTTAAAGTAGAATTTGACCTTTGACCGTACAGATACCAAGACAAATAATAAACGGTTTATGTTTTTTACGAGAAGCTAAAGGCAGATCGTGTATAAATCGTGCAGAAATTACCAATAATACCCAATAAATCTATGTACCGCAGTGTACGTCATACTCTGTCATAAGTTAGAGTTTGACCTTTCACCTTTGGAGACGATTCCAACACAAAATGATGAATGGCACTGTTGACTCACGGAAGTTGAATGTGGTTTTTTCTATGTAACGTCGCACAGAGGACTTAAATCGTTTACGGACCAAGTACGTCCTCATTCACTTTAGCTTTAACTTCTGTCGTTTAGGATGAAATAAAACCATTATTTACAGATGCCCCGTGTAGTGATTTTTTATTCGCTCAAGTTCACAACCACTGTGGAGCACCCGAGTAAACATTTAAAAAAAATTCAAATCGAAATCTAGGCGTGTCTGAAGTGTCAGATTGGACTTGGTGATATGAATAAAAGGTTTGATGGTTCTTTCATTCTTAGACCACTATTTGTATTTAAGGTTCCTGATAGTGGACATACGTAAATGATATGGACAGGTAAACTTACCTGGTTTTATACAGGTATAATGTTTACAGGTATAAACACACATCTATATACATACCTGAAATACACAGGTGCTCTGTGGTAACTGTGCATGTATACAAACATAGATATATATACATACAGCCACAGGTATGCTCAGGTGTATCTGTGTACCGAGGTAATACACAGGTAAGATCAAAGCTCTCTCTGATCACAACAATTTTACAACTGTTCACACAACGACGTGCCAGAAAGACGTGGGACTATCTATGCTATGGCGACTGCTGAGGTGATTTTTCAAATTATTTGTCCATTTTTTCGCTGTCGTATATTTGTCGTATACAGGTCGAGCTTAAGACTTCAGCTGTGGTGTTTCTGATCGATCTTCGTCAACTGACCGTGTGTGGCTTTGAAGCTCAGCGTTCAGTTATGAGAGTGAAGGCAGCGCATTAAACATCACTGTAGCCTTGTTGGTTCTGTGGGAACAAGCGGGTGGCGTAATGTTGTCGCGAAGTCAATATACTTACGAACGTTGTCATCTATATATTTTCTCTATGATAAATGTGTTTTTTTAATATTTGGACATATTCTATTCGAGTGGTGAGTTATATATATATATATTGTTGTTATTTTCAGTGAAATGAAATGTTATTCAATACTATTTTTACGGAATTTTTAAAATTAGGGAATTAAATCGGTGATATCAGAAAAATATATTATAGAATTGTAAATTTCCGTTTTTAAATTTTGCCGTTATGTATTTTTTTGGTACTTTTTTTGTTGACTTGTGACAAATTTGCCTTCATTGTATTGATAACTATCTTATGATACCAAAAATATGAATTATTGAAGTGCGACATTTAAAACTGACGTCTCAGGTTTCAAAGTAATACAATAAGTTGTATATAAAAAAAACCTTGTTGGAGACCAACAGGACAAAATCTTTTTGAATCTAAGAAGAAATCGGATACGGAGCTCATGGTGTTGTTAGTCCGAAACACAAGATTGGAGGCTTTCAAATTTTGGCTGTGCTACTCAATAATTTGTCTCATCATTGTTCAGGGTTAAAAGAAATAGCTTGCTGTTAAAAGTATCAAATGTTTGTTACATGTTTTGAATTTTATCGTCCTTGACGAGAAAATCTGGCGCGGAATATATTCAACAGATAGAATCCATACACATTCTGTGTATTCATGTATATATACATATATATACATGTGTTTGACAAATCATTGACTCGTAACGAACTTCGTGTATTTACCAGATCTTAAAATATGTTATATGCATTGATTGGTCTCAGAGCCAAAGGAGTCGTTAAGTCTATTATCAATATCATCGAGCTATATTTTCTTTTATTTCAGAAATTGGACATGTGTATAGATGATGGCCGATACGCCAAACAGTGCTAGAAGTCACGCTACAACAGAAGATAGCATTGTCAGTCCGGTTCCATCCATTCACGGAGACGTTTTGTCCCGAATCAACGAAAGTTACAAAGAATCGAAAGCAAACCAAATTTTCCGGCTTCTTCAAGATCAAGAAAATTTGAATAAAGTGTTTACGTCGAAACCAGGTCGACGAAAACCGACACGCAACGACGAAGACGAACACAGTGACGATAGTTTGAGTGAGGATTCTTTGAAGGAAACTGAAAAACGACTGTCGGTTAGGTTGTCGTTACATAGACAAAAAGGCGGGAGGTCGAAATCTTCTATGGGATTTTATCATAATGGTGATGATATAAGCTCAGACGAGGACAACGAGAAAACAAACGAGATGGCAGAACAGGAAAGACAGATCAACACAAGGATAAATAGGCCAAAATCGAGCTATGTTAGGCGGACCACGATGTGCCAGAGCTACGGTGACAGTGACGATGACGCACGTGCACAGGTTCGTCCTAAGTCACGTTGTGGGATTCGAAGCGGTGACCCACGTAGCCGTCGAATGGTTCTTAAAGAAACCAGTTACAATCACCAACAGGAGGCTCCAACCAGAGATTCTGTCGACGAGGATTTTGGAAACGATTCTTTAGACGGAACACGGAATTATGACAAATATGCGAACACACGATATGCGCCAACGACTGGCCTTATTCGACAGCGGTCACGGATTCGAGGGTTTTGTGATACCAGCATGGCGACCGATATGTCAGTTTCTTCGTCAAATACAGACGTTACAAACTCTAATAATAACTGCCACATTCAGGAAGAAACCACGGTTCTCTCTATAGATCCACCGGACTCGGCACGAGAATCCTCGCCTATACAAAAACACCGCAGGCAACAACTGAAATCTGCACGGTCGAATAGACCAACATCTGAAAACGTGTTCTTAGTACGACAGCGGACGGAATCCCGTCTCCTGCGAGGATCCCACACAACCACGTCCAGGCCCAAATCTGATAAAACTTTATTAAATGCGTCAGGTAATACGAAATCGTTATTGTCAATCGACACGAGTCCAAACCAGGGTCCGACAGTGTCAAAGACTTCCCAGGCACAACAGGGCCCTATAAACACACTTACACAACAACAACGTTTTCAACGAGACAGCTATGACCGGAAACCGCAATCGAGACCGGTCTCTCGTAGGAGTTCTCTTCGTGCCGAAGGGTCAGGGCCTGTTAGAGGTCCCCCAAAGAACATGTCTGTGTACGGGGGCAGAACACAAGCAATTGGACTGATGAAATTGCCCCCTTTAGATCCGGCCGTCAGTCAACGAGCCGAACGTGCGCTAGTCATACCTACGGGAGAAACATGTGCTTAAGTAAACATGGACACTGCCACGTACTTCCTTATAAAATAAATAAGATGTACTTCCAGTCTGACATTGCGGGGAAGATTCATTGTTCGAAAATATGGAGATCCAACATATTATTCCAGCTTGAGATATACATCAAATGTTGCACTGCGTACAGTACTTTTAGGTCGGGTTGAGTTAAAGAGACATTATACTGCCGGAAAATTCCTCCCAGGAAACATGACAGAAAGACAAGTCTTCATTCCCAGCAATGGAAGAATCGTATATATGAACATTTTCTGTGGACGCATTTTGCTTACTTTCCCCTTTTCATGAATAGGAACTATGGAAGATTTTAAATGTTATGACTTTCCATAAAATTATTTGCTTGGTGCCAACACTTGTTGTCATTGCAATATAATACACTAGGTATGGCGAGACATCACTAAAGGTTCCGATGTGCAATTTCCATACAAGTGATAATTGACAGAAGACACGTGATCCTAAACGGAAGTGACAGATGTGTCTGTTTCATTTTCTGAAATAGAAATAATTGATGGATTACAATTTCAAAATCTGAAATAAATACAGGTACGTTCAATGACGATTAAACCATTGATATTTAATTTCATCGCAAATGAAACATTTAAAAGATTAATTTGGAGGAGAAAATAAACGATAAGTTCTTCAAAAACAAATATATGATCAAAAGAACACAGAGCTTGATTAGTTGTCGCTTTTCAGCCAGTCTACAGTTCAAGGTAACTTGTCAACAGACAATTACATTAAAAAAATAACGATACTGGTTATTTTCAACATATTGTCAAACAGATACAATTCTTCACTCTCAATATCAATGTTATGATGGAAATTTAAACTTGTTATGAAATCCATATTTCCCTGATTAAACACGTTTAATAAATGTTTGATAACATTGTTTGTTGTTTACTTAAGTGTTGTTCGAGTAGTTATCATGTGTATCTTGGCAACTTAATCACTGTGAACCCAACGTGACCAATTCCTTTCAGAGAATGATTAATTTGTCAATTCAAACATGATTTAAGCAGAACCTATCGACTTGATTTCTTATCTCCACGACCAAAGTCCTACATTTAACGAGAATGTGTCATAACCCGGTTTTATACAGAAGAGGCACGTGTACACATATAAAAAGTTTTGAATTAATGTTTCATAACACCATGAACTTGCATAATGTTTTTGCGGTTCCTCATTCAATTGGCATAACATCCAATCCTTGGTTGTGTATACATTGTAAAGTAGGCCCTTTAAGTATCTGTCCCCGAATATCTTTTATATTTCCGTTGTAATGGCGGTCTCCTTGCTCACGACTTTTTGTTTATACAGAGGCAATCGAGCACCAGAAAGCATCGTTATGTACTTAACTTTCGAATAATTGAAACTACATTTTTCAATGCAAGTGTGTTACATGTATCTTAATGCAGTACATTTTCTCTTTTTACTGTCACTTAAAATTCATTATCAGGCCGTTTTCAGAATAATACAGTATATTAATAGCATGTGTCATAGACACGTGTCACAAATAGGTGTCTTAAATATGGACTATTTGACAAATGTCAGCGGTATCGTAACACACAGAATAAGTTTTGCACTGTTGGCCGGACAGACGTTGTACGCCAGGTTTTGCTAGGTCATGGTCTTGGTTGGACAGACGTTGTACGCTAGGTTTTGCTAGGTCATGGTCTTGGTCGGACAGATGTTGTACGCTAGGTTTTGCTAGGTCATGGTCAGCAAGTGAAATCACATCATTTCATTTTGACGTCGGAAGTTCTGACTGGCACCAAGGACTGCAGGATCTCGGTGAAGTGTATTTGATAAGACACCAGCAGTTTTCGCTAAGGATTGTCATCAAAGACAAGCGCAATAATTAATCGTGGTTTAATGAATTCTAAAGATTCAAATTATAAACTCAAAAGTAAATTTGATAAAAGGCAATATACACTGTTGCCGCTTTTTTTCTTTCTTTTTTTTTGTGAGTCACGTGCCAATATTACTAGAATGCGGCATTATGAATATATAATGGCGCATTGGACATGCACCAGGGAAAATTGACATGAAAATGTGTTGCACATGAATGGATACATATCCTGAAGGACACAGAACGAAGAATTAACCAGAAGCCGTAGTTTGCTTGCAATTTACCTGATTAAGCTTTTGGTTTTCAGAAAATGTGGAATTGGTGGCACAAGAAGCCATTAATTATGAAAGACACAAGAAAAAGTCAACAGGATAAAATTCTTTTTGAGTAGGTGCTATATTTGACAGCATTTGACGCTATTATAAGTTCAAATAATATTTTTACCTGAGAGTCAGATCATTATTTATAAATGCGAGTTGCTATCTGAAAAAAACAACTTAACACATATACGCTCATGTATGTATAACATTGTTTACAAATCTCCATGGTTACCGCTTTATTGATATCTTTCATATCATCACACGGACTACATCTTTATTTTTCCCGGCTGAGTTTTAAACTATACACAGATATATCATACATTTTTTCAAACGCAACGAAACTGATCAAAGATTTTTAAAGCTCTTTTGCTCGTCTATTTAACGATTCAACGATTATTGAGAGGTCGATAGGAATGATGAATACGTTAGATATACAGTTGTGACTGATGCAGGGTTGTGTGTGTGTCGGAGTGTTGTGTCGTTGCTACATGCGCATACACACTATCACCACACGTGTGACATGGAGTAATGCTACACTCGACAGATGGCCTGTCGGAGCAGCATGAATAAAATATGTAGAATAACTTATTTACTTTTTAACGAGAATTTCTGATAATTAATGTCTTGTTGACATACACACGTAATGAGTCTACTATTGTCGTTATATTTGACTTGTCATGGTGTGAGGCATTCTGATGTAAGAATATTTATCTCCCATCCAAAACTTCCTAACATCAGAATTGTTTAAAAATATATATAGATAATACAGGTTCTATTATGTTGTTTCGGCAAAACTGTAACTGATAATTGCTTCTGTACATCACATTAAGATCAAAAGCATGTGGAAGGGGACCACAAACTTACAATCTAGCATTGTTCAACTGTACCTGTATCCCGTTACAAGAATTCTGGAATATTTTCGACGAAAAATATTGTGCCATTTCGTATAACGCATACAGTGACGACATCGTATGTAGTGTTTACAGATGATCCTATCTATTTGTGTAAGCTTATCTAATTAAAGCAGTAAATTTGTATATAAATATTTGAATTAGATTTGTTTGTGAGAGGGGACATTGTCAACATCTGATTGTCTGGTGATGATTATTCATTTTATATCACCAATGAAACAATCGTTGTGTGTTTTGACACTAATAAAAAGGTTCTGAAAAATAAATAAATAACACAGATTTGCTCCTATCGAAAATCCTTAATTATCGTACGAATAAAAACTCCTGTAAAACTCGACATTTTGAAAAGTTTGCGAGAAACTTGATGTAATGGGGGAAAATGACTAATTTAAAAATCGTACGAGACTAATTTCGGTAACATGTTCACAATCACCCTATGGTAGAGACACGGGGCCTAAATGGTAAGAAGTTACAACTTAAAAGACACACACATGGTGATATTGTCTGGCGAAGCTACTCAGTGCATTTTTACTATATATCATAAATCATGATCTAAAAAAGACCAATTGATCGTGGCGTATTATTCTGCTAAGCTGGTCATAGGTATACATTCTATACAAACGGTAAACTTCAAAGGCAGTTGTCTTGTGTCTTTTATTTACCGACAACACATACTTCGGACGATTAGCGAAGAATTATTTTAAAGCTAATTCCATAATTATGATATTTTAGAAATTATCTCGTAAAAATGGTATTACTTTTTTCACATATGGTTTTAGTAAACAGGTGTTGATTATAGGCTATGTCAGAGTGAGGCGACAAATTTACAGAGATGTTGTTTATTTAAAAATCTCGGTAAGCACGCGAGCTGTCTATGCGTGGACACCGAAACGTTTTAACTCTACCGTATGCTTGAATAGGGTGTCCGCCGCCACAGCGATACCAATCGTGTTGAGAAGTCTTATTGAGTAATATATCACAGTTTGATAGATTCAAAACAGGTAACTAATAGGATTTTCTGACCGTCCACTCAGATGCTACTGACGTAGTACATTTAAAAATATTATTAAATACTTGATCATAAAGGGGAAAATTGATATTGTGCGAGTGTATGACTCCGCTACCCCTATTAGCGTGGGATTATTGCATATATCGTATCATTTTTGACTGGATCTACTAAGAACACATGAACTTTATCAATTTGGTAGCATAAAGTCATATCCATACAAATCTGAACGAACAACAGCACAGATATCTGACACCGCACAAGTTCCTTTATACTTTTTTCAGTCACAAGTTCAACTGACCATCAATGGCGTAGCGATAATGTTGCTTGTATGCTTAAGCATACATTCGAATTCCATTGAGATATTTTCTTACTTTTGTTTTTACTTTACATCGCCCCTAGACCCCCGCCACCCCATCCCACCGAAGCTTCGCCCCTAGACCCCCGCCACCCCACCCCACCGAAGCTTCGCCCCTAGACCCCCGCCACCCCATCCCACCGAAGCTTCGCCCCTAGACCCCCGCCACCCCAACCCACTTAAGCTTCGCCCCTGGACCCCCGTCACCCCGCCCCACTGAAGCTTCGCCCCCTGGACCCTCTCTTGTGAAAGCATACACTTCTAAAACATTTGCTGCTCCACTGACCATGACGTTGACTTTTGACTACTTCTTTCCCAGAGTTGGTCGTTGGTTGCCACTGAAAGAAAATGTCAATCGCAAGATTTCGGCACAATCTTCAGGATTTCTAAGTCATTACAGGAATTCCCTCCTCCCCGAGATGTTGCATTTGATTGTATGTAAGGAACGACAACTCCAGGCGAGCGTAAAGAACGACAACTCTAGGCGAGCGTATGGAACGTTAATTCTGGGTAGGGATGGCAGTCGAAGGTTTACTTTAAAAGTTGTTCAGGCTTATACACCGATAATATTAATTGACTGCATACATTTACATGCTTTTTAAACAGAAAAATAGATATTGGGTTTATTTCTTGCTAGAAAAAATTATCTAT